GTACGCATGGCGTGAACGAGCTCATGGCCCTGAGGAGGCGGGCCTCTTGCAGGCACGAGTTGCCCTCGACCGCCGCGTCCCGCGCTGCCGTGTGGTCATTGGACGGGTCCTTGGCCAACTGCTCGCGGATCAGGGACCACACCCGTCCCAGAATGGAAACGATGCCGATGGCCCTGTCCAGACACATTCATAAGGGGGTACACTGGCACATAACGAGCACGGTTTGAACTGGACACAGCATCGTGGATTCCACCGCCTGCACTACCAGCGCAAGTTAATCAGCTGCATGTCGAAGGAGACGCTGAGAATTCACTGGCGTGAACACGTCCACGCCCGTCCCTGCATTAGCTTTCATCTTGGCCGGGCTGCTATAGATGTCGTCGCTAGTGGCTGGTGGAAGCGGGTCCAACTGCGCCTCCTCCAAAATAACCGTGGATATGGCAACAACAGATGACCACTCCAAAGGCTTAGACGCCCATGAATTCTAGTATGCAGTCTGCTCACTGTCGGTCCCATCGGCTGGGTGGAATAAAACCCGATTGCCCACGATACATCCGTGCTGTGGTATGGGCTGCAGCTTCAAGGAAGTGTTTAGGATGCGTGGGGCCGTAAGCTCCGTGATCCATGACCGAACCTCTGTGACAGTCTCGTGCACGGCCGCGCGCTGAGACCGTCGCGTGACTTTCCGCGCCACCACGACGCATGACGCCAAGATTGGCACCTGCACGAGCATCAGTCGCTGGAGGAGCTCGAGCCACTGAGGCCACGGTGGCCCCCGTCCATCCCGCAGCAGCACGCCTGCCCCAGTTGGCCTTGCCCCGTACAAGCACTGGCACGAGGCCGCTCTTCCTCCCCGTGCTTGAGCAGGGCTCGCAGCTTCGTGTGAAGCCTCGTCCACCACTGGCTCCATTTTTTTCCGGCGTGTTTTTTCGGAGGAAGGGGTGGGGGAATGAGAGGATGACGCGGACAGCCGATGGTCATCGTCTCGCATGTTTCCTATTGGTGCAGTGGTGCTAAACATCTACGCCAGAGAACACCCCGCCGAAACAGCGGAGCTGGACTGCGACATTCCGCATCCACACGCGGATGCTTCCGCCAGCTTCTAGGAAGACTGCGCCGCACGAAGTCCTGCAAGGAGGAGGAGGAGGAGGAGGAGGAGGAGGAAAAGGGGGAGAAGGAGGAGGGGGAGGAGGAGGAGGAGGAGGAGAAGGAGGGAGGGAGGAGGAGGAGGGAGGAGAGAAGGGGGGAGGAGAGGGGGGGGGAGGAGGGGGAGGGAACAGGGACGCAGCACACGGCCCTAAAAGCGGAGCTCAAACGAAGACCCCAAAAATGCGCAATAGTCCCAGACACTGGCAGCACAAGAAAGGGCAGGGGAAGGCACATGAAATCCGCCATGACGCGGCATCAAAAGAAGCACCGATCGTACGCCGCTCCTGGATTCTATCGTGTCGAACATGCGCAGAACGCGCTAAATGATACACGCATGTCGCGAGACGGGAGCGGGCGGCTGCGGAGGAGGAAACGACGAGGAGGAGAAGCAGGAGGAGGGGGGGAGGATGAGGAGGAGGAGGAGGAGGAGGAGGAGGAGGAAGAGGAGAAGGGGAGGGGGGGAGGAGGAGGAGGAGTAGGAGGAGGAGGAGGAGGAGGAGGAGGAGGAGGAGGAGGTGGAGGAGGAGGAGGAGGAGAAGAAGGAGGAGGAGGAGGAAGAAGAGGAGGAGGAGGGAGGAGGATAATGAAGAGGGAGCGACGAGGAGAGGAAAGAGGACACACCGTGAAGCGCATGCCCGGGGCAGCTCCTCAGAGGAATCCAAAAAAAGCGGCCAGGCGAGGCCAGGCGGCACAGAGGCGCCCTCCGCTGCCGTGCCACTGGCGGGAGAACGCCAAGCGAAAGGCATGACGCCCGGACCCCAGTGCGAGCGCATCGCGACCCAACCCACCGAAAAGGGGATGCGGGGAAGCTGGGTAGGTAACTCCGCGGAACGCGGGTCTGCCTCGGGTCGAAGGCGACAGCAGCGCGGCGGGATGCGGGGAGGAGGCGGGCACGGAAGAGGGAGCACGGAGGGAGAGAGGGGGGAGAAAGCGGCGACTCTCAAGCTATGGCCCTCGCCCCGGGGAAACATAAGACTCGGGTGCAGGGGACTCGGGCTGGCCTGACGAGGCCATCATGAACATGGCGACACTTGCTCTGAAACTTGACGCAAGTTCCCAGACATCCCACCAAGAATCCACCGTCAAAATCAAGGACGCGCTCGTCACAAAGCTCCGGCAAACCCGAGCTAAGGCGCACTCGAGCCTTACGTTTCCCTCGTCGCTGGGCTCCCAGTTGCGGGCACGACCCCCCGGCCTGGCCAGGGCGGAACGGTGTGGAACCCGACCCCCGTTCACACCACCTGCCCGCAGATCGCCGCGGCCTCTCACGCCGCTCTCGCGGGGGGGGGGGCGCGAGCCCAAGGGGAAGCATGGGGCCGCCCCCAACGGCGACGACGACGACGAAGACGACGACGAGGCGACTACGACCAAAGCGACGAGCCGAACCGATGACGACAAGGACGCCGGCTACGGGGAGGAGGGGAGAGAGGGAGGGAGGCAAGGGCAGCAGGAAAGGAGAGAGGGGAAACGAAGAGGAGAGAGGACAGGAGGAGGGGGAAGGAGAAAGGGGCAGCCCCGGCGCCCTGCCCACCCAGGGCGTGTGCCCCCCAGGGGGAGGCGGCGCGTCACCTTCGCCGGGCGCCCTGCGGCAGGCGGGGCCTCGGGCCACCCCGGTGCCGACGAGGACGTCCTGCAAGAACAGCTGGCAAGCTCGAGCAAAAACACTCGGCATCGCGCAAGCTTGCGCTAACAAAACGTTGCGTTCCCTCCGCCCCCCGGGCTGGCGGGGGGGAGGGGGGAGAGGAAGCGAACGGAAGGAGGAGCAGCAGGAGACACCGACTGAGCTGCGAGGCCGCTCACAAACACGGCTTGTCTCACCAGGCCCCACGACAGTTCGCGCAGCCGCCGCCGCAAGGCGCTCCGGCACGCCTCCGGGCTGCCCCGGCGTGGCGCCGCCAGCTGTGCGTGAGGCGGACGCTGCAGGTCAAGCGCGCCCGCCGCTGCAGCTGGTCTGCCGTGCCGGCGCTCTATAGGGCGTCTCTCCAGCCATACGGACCTCGCAGGCCCGGAATGCCTCGTGGCGGGGCGAGCCAGCCCGAGCTGCGTCGCGGCGGCAGCCGTGACCCATCGGCACTCCGAGTGGGGTTCGATCGAGTCCCCTCCCGCTGTGCATACGAAGACGCACGCGGCCTGGCCCTGAAACCGCCGCGCTGTGAGCCACCCATTCCAGAGGGTGCGCAAGCATGCCGCAAGCACGCAGGGAGGCACCACTCGGGACACGGCCGGGTATGTGACCAGCACTCTGTCTGCCATCTCCTGCACAATCATCCCGCAGAACCCGCGGTATATCTGCTTGAACCTCCAGTGTAGTGGTGACGCGGAAGGGGCAGCCGCCGCGGCCGTGCTGGAACCACTCTTCGATGCCTACGCGACGATCTCGGGGTTGCGTTCGAAAATCGGCAACGCGGTATGGGTGCCGCCATCCCCAGGGCATCCAGAGGAGGCGAGAAGCTGGGTCACGGCCCGGGCCCCTTCGCGGGGAGGTCTGCGCTTTTTCCCACAGCGCCAGGTACCTCGGAGCTCTTCTCGGCCCTACTCGGGGAGAGTGTGGCTGGGACGCCGCTGCCAACTTACTACCTCCAGCGCGGTGGCACGTACGCCCAGACAGTGCCAGCGGCGTACTCGGCATACGCGGTCTCCACGCTGGCCTTCCTCGCGCAGCTGGACGCGCCGCCGACCTCTTGGCCCCGCCTGGAGTTGAGTCGGGCCTGTCCCCCACAGGGGGACTTTCGACGAAAAACAAAAACATAGAATCCAAAAATAACCCAAAATATCCAAACATAGTCTGGGGTCTATTTTTTTGTGTTTGTTTTACCTTTTTGGGTATGTTTGGTTTTTTTGTTTATATTTTTCGTCGAAGATCCCCCTGTAGGACGACAGGCCCGACTTAAGCCTGGAGGTGGCCGCGCTGCCGTCGCCGCGCCGTGGGCCGAGCAGGTGGGCTCCGCCCTCGGCGCTGCACGGCCGGCGTCCCACTCACAGGGGGCCTCCCGGTGGGCCTGGCCCGACCGGCCCTCGTGGGCCCCGGCGGCAGAGGTCCGGGGCCTGCCCGTGGGACGCGGCTGCAGCAGGCGGGCGGTGCGCGGAGAGGCCCCGGGCCACGCGGCTGCGGCAGGCGGCGCGGCTCTCTGACGGGCCTCCCGCGCGGCCTGGCGCACGTGGGCCCCCCTGGCTCGAGCGGGCCGTCGTGCTGCAACCGGAGGCTGCCTGGGTGCACGTCGAGCAGCGGAGCCTGCGGCCACGGCAAGTCACGGCTGCCACTGGGGCCGCCGATGCCGCCGCACAGCGAGGGCTTTCGGCAGCGCGCATGCGTCCGGCCGATCGCGCCGAACACCTCTGGGGGGTGGCGCAACCACCACTGGTTCATCTGGTCCCTCAATGGGAGCTCTCGCATATGTAGGAGGGAAGGAGGGAGGGGAGGAGGGGGTGAGGGAGGGGATGGAGGTTGGACGCGGGGGGGGGGAGAACGATGGAATGAAGGGTGGGACGGGAGGAGGGAGCGAGGATGGAGCGAGGATGGGCCAAAATGAATCCCACAAGCCCTTTGGGCCAAGGTGGTCTAAATCATTATTTCCTCTTCCAAAACCCTCTTCCCTTCGGGGAGGGGTACCTTCCCCCTCCACTTCCTGATGCTTTTTGAAGGGGTTCGGGAGGTGGCAGGGAGCTCTTTTTCTCCCAAGGTGGCCCCAAGAGGGCCACCGACGCTCTAAGATAGTCTCCAAGGCGACTCAAGATAGCCGAAGATGGTTCAATGTAGCTTCAGGCAGACCTCCGAGAGGCCCGACGAGGGCCACAAGACGGTTCCAAATGCTCTCGAAGCCGCCACAGGGCCCCCTCAAGAGGCCCAAATCCTTCAACAACCTAAAGGAACCTCCATGCATGACTCTTGATGCCTCGCTCTTCCGCTTCCGATGCCCTTTTGAGGCCTCAAGATGGCTCCAACAGAAACGCTCACGACTCCGATGAACCGATGTGTGAGGGTCAATGTGTTGGCCTGGCCGCGGTCTGTCGGCGGTGGACAAACCTCCCTTTAGTACACCTCCCCTCAATTGAAAACGGCCTGGGACCGAAACCGACGGACCTGGACCCGCAGAAATGACGGCCGCGACGCCCCCTCGCGAGCCGAAGACGGCCAATTCGCTAATCGACGTGTCAGGGTAGGAGGTCTATCCACCTCCGAGTGCAGTAACAAGTAGGAGGAACATAACTTCCAAGGAGGGGAGGTCCTCGCGATCTTTGATGCTACCCTATGGCCGGTTGGGGCCGTCTGGAGCCACCTTCAAGCATCTTGGGGGCCTCTTGCAAACCTTTCGGGACCCTCCTGGCGGCATCTGGGATCTTTTTCTGTGCGCGGTATTGCTCGCCGGCAAGCCTTCGATCGCAGGTGCGAGTGCCGGCCCGAGTCTTCGCTCGACTGCTCGACTGCTTACTCCTCTGGAAAACGAACTACGACACGAGCATCTGGTCAGAAAAGCGTTTGGAGCGCGCGCCGCCGTGTGGCGCCCCCATGGCGACAACACGCCCTGCGAGCGGACGGCGTGCCGCTCCGCTCCGGTGGGGCGGACGGCTCGGAAAAAAGCTCTGGGCCTCGACGCCTGGGGACCTAACTTGTCCTCCTCCCCCTCCCCCTCCTCCCCCTCCACCCCTCCTCCTCCTCCTCCTCCTCCTCCCTCCTCCTCCTCCTCCTCCTCCTCCTCCCCCTCCTCCTCCTCCCCCTCCCACCTCCCCCTCCCCCTTCCCCTCCTCCGCTCGCGTCGAAGCGTGGTGTAGGGGGCCACAGGCGAACTGCCCCCCACGGTTTCTGAGGGGGAGGGTGGGGTTCATTTCGCTCGGGAGCTCCCGAACGAAGTGAGCCCCACCCTCCCCCTCAGAACTCGTGGGGGGTAGGGGTAGGGTTCGCCTGTGGCCCCCTGTGGTGGGCCAGAACACCGGCGGAGCGACACGCTTCGGTAGGGGCCCGACCACGAGAAACCATCTCCACAGGAAGCCCGGCCCTGGGACCCCGGGACGTCCATGGACTTCTGGTGCGGGAGCGTCGCGCCGAGCCATCGAAACCCAAGGCACCCTGGAGGCAAGCAGGGCGTTTGGACGCCCGAATTATACGGGATAACTCGGGTCCGGGGTAACTCGGGTTCGGATTCCGGAAAAACGGACCCGATTTAGCCCTGACCCGAGTTACCCCTGATGATTCGGGGCTCTGGACGCCCGAATTATCCGGGGTAACTCGGGCCCGGGGTAACTCGGGTTCGGATTCCCGAAAAACGGACCGAGTTAGCCCTGACCCGAGTTACCCCTGATGATTCGGAGCTCTGAAGGAACTGCCTGCCGTGAACTCCCGGAGCTCCGTGCGAATTTCCTGGGTCGGTGCTGGGACTCCCTCCTCCTCCTCCTCCTCCTCCTCCTCCTGCTCCTCCTCCTCCTCCTCCGCCTCCTCCTCCCTGCGCGCGCCAGGGGCGGCGCCAGGGGGGGGGGGGCCCGGCGCGGCCCGCGGAGCCCGGGAGGGCAGCGCCCCAGAGGCGCAGCCCCCCCTGGCACGCGGGATGGGGGGCCCCTGGCACCGCTCCGAGAAGTCCGCGCGGAGCCCCGAAAGGTCATGCTCATGCCGCTGCTGCGCCATCGATCCTCACTGCTGTAGGGGCCCCAGGACACACTGAAATAGATACACACAAATAAGCAGATTCCCCATAGTTTCCCATATGGTCTGGGCTTCTGTCTTTCCCCCCGCTTCCCATATTTTCCCATATTTTCTGGGGAATTGAAGATTGATTGTGTTCGTGTGTTTCTTCTCCTCCTGAACTGCTGCACCGCTCCGAGAAGTCCGCGCGGAGCCCCGAAAGGTCACACCCTGCGAAATGCTTAAGAAATCATGGGTTAAGAAATTCATAGTCTCAGGACTTGAATATAACCCAGAGCTTCTATCGACATCTTGGGATTCGCATTGAAAAGTTAAGAATCATCGAGACTCTGGAGGAACACTTAGGTTTTCTTAAGCATCGCCTAGGGTGTATGCTCAAGCCGCTGCTGCGCCATCGATCCTCACTGCTCGTGGCCGAGGTCGTGGCCCCAGAGGCCCCGATCCCCTCCCTCGGGGCCAAGTTTCGCCCCCGAGTCCTTTTTGATGCCCCCATGGACCGATGGCGCGCCCTGGAGGTCGAAGTCTTCAGAAGTCGCCTGGATTGAACAATAGATCGTCGGAGATGCGAGTCACTACTCGTGTCCAGGGTCGCGGCCTGCGCCGCTGCTTCCTCTCGTGGATCACGTTCTCGGGCATGTCGAGCACGCGGGCCTCGCCGGTGCAGGAGTCCACGTAGTCGTACTCCCGCTCGATGTAGACCCCTGGCCCGCAGGTCCTGTGCGGGAGGGAGGTGGCGGGCAGGAGCAGCATCTGGCCAAGGACCACGAGAACGATCAAGATCATGGCCAGGACGAGATCCCAGACATGCGACGTCCTGATTTTTTCAGAACGGCGTCCCCAGAAGTCCCGACCCTTTCCCTGGGGCCAGTTTTTCGTCCTGAGTCGTTTTTTGACGGTCCCGAGGCCCGGCGAGGGCCCCCCGAGGCCGAAAATAGCCAAAAACCCTTTGTCCTGATTTTTTTACGACGCGATCATGTCTGGGATCCGATCCAGAGGATCCGCAAATTAACGGCGCGCACATGGGGGTGGTGCGAGGGGGGGGGGCCTCCTCCGCAGGCGGGGGGCCTCTCAGGAGCCCTCCGGGCCTCTGACCGGGCTTCCCGAGAGCGCCCGGGGGGCCTGCTCACAAAACCCGCAACCGCTCGGACGCCCACGCCCCGTGCGGCTGCAGGCTTCGTGCGCGTGCTCTTCGCAAGGAGTGCTCCGAGAGGGCCCTCGCCGAGGAGCAGAGGCTCACGTCCGGGCGATGCCGAGAGAGGGCCCCTGCCTCCCAAGAAGGCCCCCCCCCCCCCCCCCGCCTGCTTGGGAGGCGCGCCGCCCCCTCGCGCGCGCCGCGCGAGAGGCAGGACAGGACGGGGGAGGATGGGGAGAGCGGAGACTGCAGAGGGGGATTACGCCACGAATACATACATATAGTATACATACATACATACATACATACATACATACATACATACAGACAGACAGACAGACAGACAGACAGACAGACATACAGACAGACAGACAGACAGACAGACAGACATACATAAATACATACATGCATGCATGCATGCATGCATGCATACATACATACATACATACAAACATACATACATGCATGCATGCATGCATGCATGCATGCATGCATGCATACATACATACAAGACTGCGGTGGCGCTTCGCGTCATGCACCTTGGTCCTTGAGATTTGGTGTGCAGGCGGAATAGCAGGAAAGTCCAGCCGACAATTTAGCGATGACGCCTTGTTGCATTTTCCGGCATCGCCGCTATGATCATGTTTTCGTTATCCTTGCTCCATGCTTCTTTTTCTTTATGTTCGCCATACCCTGCGCATTCTTCTCATCCTCCTCAGCTCTTTTTTGCGGAGGCTCTTCCTTGTAGAGCCTCTGGGGGCCTCACAAAAATTGTTTCAAGCGTTCTTAAGGCCTTCTGGAGGCCTCCTGGGCGTATTCTGGGGGCCTCTGGGGGCTTCCTCGGGCCACCCTGCCTCCAACCGCGGTCTCCCTGAACGACCAGGTCACGATTTGGAATGCTTCGGAAGGAGTCTTGGGGCCATCTTGGGCCGCCATGGGGCTCTCTGAGGGCCATCTTGGACCCGTGTTGTGCACCAGGCGGCTTCGGACGCCCAGAAGACCGCCGTCTTGGAGCGTCGGGAAGCCGAAAAGAGGAGAACCCCAAAAATCACCAAAAACCTAGATAAAATCAATGATTTGTGCCTCTTGGGGCCTTCTTGGGAGTGCTCTTGGAGGCCTCTTTGGGGCCGTCCTGGAGGCCTCTTGGGCCATCTTGAGTTCACGTCGGTCACTCTTGGAGCACTCTTGTGCTGTTTTGGGGGTCTCTGGGGCGTCTCCGATGACCCCCCTGATCGCCCTAGGTGTGCTGGGAAGGCTTGGCAAAACGCCCTGCGAGGCCCAGGGCGGCGCTTCGGCCCGTCCGGAGGGTCCCAAAGCCTCAGATCTCGGGAGTCCGGCGGTTTTTTGGGGGGAGGGGGGCCCCCCCGCCCGGGCTTGCAAAAATATAGGAAGAGGGGTACGTATACACAGACACCCTCCGACGAATTTTGCATGCACCTTCGGGGAGGGCGGCGGTGTACAAATTCGCTGGCACCCAGTGATGATTTATACACCGCCGCCCTCCCCTGAGGCCCAGGAATTATCAATTGGAAAGTGTCTGTGTGTTATATATAGATGTGGCGGAGCGACGGAGATCGAAGTTGTGCGATGAAGGGAAGTTGAAGAGCTAAGCCGCCTCGATACGCCCCACGCAACCCGTAGCGGACTGACACGGAGCTAAACGCGTGGATCGAAAACGTCGTACGCCTGGCGCGGCACGTTCGCCAGAACGTGGGCCAACACGCAGAGCCAACATGCAACGTGTTAACAAGGACGCGTTGAACACGGTACGTGTTGCGTTGCAAAATGGGCGCATCGGGGAAGCAAAGGGGAGGAGCGATGAGGGAGGCGTGATTAGGGAAGGAGGGAGCGATAAGACGAAACCATAGCGAGGACAAGTCCAGGATCTCGGAGATCCGGCGGCTCTGGGGGATGTCTCGGGCGTCGCGGCCCTCTCGAAATGATCTGGAAGGCTCCGAGAGCGCTCTGAAAGGCTCCGAGTGCGTTCCGGGACGCTCTGGCAAGCATTCGTCCTCGCCCCAGCCCCGTCCGAGGTGGGCAGGGGCAGAGCAGCCCCAGCAGGAAGGAAGCTCCGAAGGGCCCGA